AAAAAATACCAAAAGTTTTTATGAATCATTTCTTCCGCATAAACGTCAGTACAAAACTCCTTATTTCTGTCGCAGATGCACTCAGCTTTTGAGTAAGTACCTTTTATCCTTCGAACTTTTTGTTGGTTCACAATGAAAAACGATATCATAAACAGACAAAACTTCTTCTTTATCGTTCTTTCTCTCTTTTGAACTCTAAAAGATGAACCTAACAGTTACAGAAACATCTAACTGCTACTTTTGCGTTCAGGTGATTTGGGAAGCAGGACCATTTTGTAGGCACACACTTTTGCTTCAAAGTATACAAAAGAAGAATGTGTTTGAACGATGTCAGCGATGTTTTTATTCGTCGAACTTTAGATATGCAAAGCTAAACGCAGCGTTCAGTTGTTTTCGATGATTTTTACAATGATTCTTTTGTTTCAGTTTTCAAAAAAAAAAGCTTTTGGTTCTATGTAGACAATTCGCAGTCATAAAGACATCAATATTTTTGAAGTATTTGGCTACGAGAATAACACAAAAGTTGCAAAAGTGAAAAAAACTTATTGGACAAAATTCTTCTGTTGCTAATTTTTACTTTTTTATTTCTGATTTATAAAATTTCTTTCTCTTTTTTGTTGCTGTCATTTCATTTTTTCACTGGCAAAACACGCTTTTTAATTCGTTGTGTATAAACTTACCTCAATCTTCTGAACAATTACAGTTAGTAACTTCATAAATTTACATTAAAAAAAAATACATATTGCTTGAAAGTATTCTTTCTGTTGTGTAACGTGCTATCTTAGTTTTAAAAAACTGCGTCTTCAACTGTGTATTCATTCAACCAGACATAGTGCTCTATTCTTCCTCGAAAGTTGCTGAAAAATTGCTAGATTTTATTGTTCATTGCAGTCCTTTATCAGACGTATCATAAATAAATCCTTTCAAGTAGTTAATTGTCTTTATTGAGCATTTTATTCTGAAAAAATTAACTCATTGACACAGTCGTCTGTCACAAGGAAAGTTAGACTATTAGGTACAGCGGCAGGTCCGGTTTATTTCCATCGCCAAGTATAATTTTAAAAAAGCTTCGATATTTGAGAGCTAATAAAAACTGTAAAAATTAAATCAACGAGCTACGGCAATAGCACGAAAGCAGGAGCTGAGTTTATAAAGGCTCATTTTCTGCAACAAACTACTGAGACGAAAATGAAATAAGCAAAAAAAAATTTGTTAAAAAGTAGGTTACTCAGCAATTATGACTAAACCGTCCAACTGTTAACTCATGTTGCAACTGATAGACGACGACAATGCGTAAAATGTAAACTTTTTTCGTAGCTGTAACTGGAAAACAATGTTTTCTATATGAAGAGGCATAGAGTAAAAAGGTTTAAGATTAGGCGAATCGCTGCATTCTTAAAAGTCATGCCAAAAATTCAAAGTGTCTGAAAGACGAAATAATGAGAAATTAAAAAGCCATTTATACAGTTGTCTTCTTATGTGGCGTAGCTTTGTGTGAATTGTTTCATCGGTAAAGAATAAGTTTTTTATTACTCTGTATTATTTGATCTCAAGCATCAACAGCTGCTGTTGAACAACTTGTTTATTTAATTCATACAAATTTTGTTGTTTTGTGTAAATCACTCGTGGCTAGCCTTCACTTACAAACAATCTCATTATACACCAAGTTTTAGATTGGCAAATCCCGAGCTGGAATTAGCAAAATGAAGAAATTTTTCACGTTTTTAATGCCATCTTTACTACTACTTTTTGGATTATCGTCTGCCGTGGATCTCCTGAGAAACCCCGGACCGTTTTTAAAGGTTTAAAATCTTGTCATTTTTTGAGAGTAGAGACAGAGGCAGGAGTCAATTATCAACACTGCAGCTATACATGCGGCTACTTTCTTTTCAACTTTTAAAAGTCTTTAACTTTTAGATTAGAATCAGAAAAATTTCAATTCAAAATCTATTTCAGCTCGCTAATTCAGCCGAAAAAAGCATAAACTACACTTTGATTTCTTCACCGCAGTGTAGAGAGGATATCCGATTTTGGATGCGTTCTATAGACAACTTCAACGGAGCATTTGCAATCAACTGCACTGATGATGATAAGGATTGCCTATTCTACAAGCAGTATTTAGTTCATAAACATCTTTTCGCCATGAAACGTATCATATTTTTTTATTTGTTGAAAGTTATTTTTGAGGTCTAAATAACACACAAAACGAAACATGAGTAAACCAGAAGTTTAAGTGGGCTGAAACACTTTAAAAACGGTTCTCAAAGCCAGAACTGGCACAGTTACTGTTTTATTATTAAATGGTAACTGGTGTAGTTACACAATGACATATTCCGCCAAAAATTTATTGTAAAGCTAGGACTAGTTGAGTGGTTTAGAAATTTGTAGTATAACATATATCATTCTTTTAACAGCTGCACAGGTTTTAAAAACCTCTTTACAAAAAAATTTAGAAGTTGACGCATTTGGAAGAATTCCATCAGCAGTGCTTAGCATGAAAAGGTATTTTATGGGGTCGTGGGATGAATGCATTGGGCTTCAAACGGACCAAAACCCTGACTATAAAGCAAAATTTTGCTATATTTTTGTCGGAATGGAAGTGTCAGTAAATTCGGGATTTTTTTCTGGAATTAAGGTAACCTAAACATTATGAACAAAAATTTTTTTTCAAAAAAATGGAAGAGTTTATAGAAAACTGCCGATGTCTGCGAATCGATGGTGTACTCTAAGTGGACTGTTTGTGTACCAAGAAGGTGCCCAGAAGACGTTAGTTTTCAACAACTATTTATACTTGTGCAACCAGTACCGCGCACTTCGTGTCAGTAGGTCTTCGCAACAAACTCTCTTGTCATCCATTCTGAACTTTTATGGAAAGGGAAGAAGAATTTTTACTACAATAAGAACTTTATTACTTTAAGGGGCAACTTGTAACACAGAATGTTTTTTTAAAACAAAAGTTAAAAGCATCCTTCAAATCCAGTTTTAAAATACATAATTGACAGCTAACTTTTATTTCAACAGCGACTCTTCGGAAACATCTTCTGTCACATTACTTTTAACTTTATTTTTCTAAACAGTACTAATCTTCCAGATACTCTTTTGACTCAACGACTTCGTTTGGTAATCTATAAACTTAGATAAGGAACCAATCGTCTTACCTTCTTTCAAGAATTTAAAAAAAAAGTTTTCATCTTTTAGAGAATACTTTGCAAGCTTGTCTTAAACACTTCTTCAAGTCTGTTTCTGCCTTCAAAATTATTCTATTTCATAAAAATTAATTTTGAGAAATTTATTGAAGATCAGGTCTAAATCAGTTTCACAGAAGGCACCTAACTTGTAAAATTTTACGTTTCAGGATATCACTGCTTTAGTTAAAAGTTTTAACAATCGCTCAGATTTATTTTATAAAATTTGTACAACAAGATGTCGGCCAGCAACATTACCACAACGATCGATAGGAT